GAAGTTCAAACATAAGGGTGAGACAAGACAGACCATGGGCTATCAGACAAATGGCGAGGGAGTCACCGGAACTGATGCTTTCTACCTCTATGGTGGTACACGGTGTTCCGGAGCTGGAAACGGGCACTGATTGTGAAAAACACATGCCAGCAGACAGCTTCACGTCAACTACCCCACAACACGCTGAGGTTGTAAGACCCACTGTCAGCTGCCTATATAGCAGTGTGAGGGGGCTGAGAGGAAAAATAGGTGAACTCCGAAATCTCCAAGCACACCTACAACTGAAAATGATCATTCTCACCGAAACATGGCTAACCCCCACTATCGCCGATAATGAAATCAGTATAGGTGATATGGTTTTGGTCAGAAGAGACAGGGATAATAAGGAAGGAGGGGGAGTTGCTATATACTTTGACAGGCAACTTAAATGTGTGCGCGCAACGGACCCACCAATTATTGAACTCCCAGACTCTGTATGGTGTCATTTCACCGTAGGCCACACCAAGCATTTACTTGGTGGCATCTACCGATCTCCCACCTGTGGGGCAGAGCACAATCAGCTAACGCTCAGCACTATCACAGGGATACGAGACTTGGGCTATGACCAAATCACCATAGCTGGAGATTTCAATGCCCCATCACTGAACCTTGGTTCGAGGTATGCTAAGGGAAAATTTGGCCGAAATCTACTGCAAACTATTCAAAACACGGAACTGACTGAGAATCTTGGAGACGACACTAGGTGGGGCCCTAGCGGGAAGTCATCAAAACTAGACTACATTCTAACTAGTGACCAACTACTCATCGAGAAGGTCCAGATCATGACTCCTCTAGGAAGTAGTGACCATGTAGTCCCAGGTTTCGATCTCGTTCTCCATGAGCATTTGCAGTGGGACGTTACGCAACCACGTATGTGTTACAGCAAGGCTGACTATACTGAAATGCGGAGGCTCTTGTCCGACGCAGACTGGCCCTTAGCATGGGATGAGCTGCCCGTGGATGAACACTGGGAACTGGTAAAAAAGATTATTCATCCAGTAATCTAGGATACCGTCCCTTTAGTCACAACACAGCCCAAAAGAAAGTCATCATGGCTAAAGAGAGGCACGCAGCGTATTCTGCAAGCAAAGCGGAAGGTTTGGTTTACGTGGCGCGTATCTAAGAGCCAGATCGACCATGACGCATACCTGGAACTCAGGAACAGGTGCAACGCGAGAGTCAGGAGGGACAGGAGGTCATTCCAGGCTAACCTTGCTAAAAAACTCCTGGCAAACCCCACGAACTTGTACCGATTCATGTCGGAAAGAAAACCAACCAACCAGGGGGCATGCGCCTTAGTAGGCCAAAACGGTCAGTATCTCACTAGTCTGGAGATAGCTGAAACATTCAGTTTAGCCTTCGCCAAACAGTTAAGCAGCAATGTGGGTATTACCGTTACGGACCAAAATGGTGGCACCACTATTTCACAGGAGGAAGACCAAATAGCCACCCCCCAAATAAACCATGCAATAGTACTAAGAAAGCTACAGCGACTCACACCTGCGAAGTCCCCAGGTTGTGACGACATCACGCCATCTGTTCTGAAACAGTGCGCCGAAGCTCTCTGTAGGCCCTTATGCGACTTGTTCCAACACTTCATGGAATCGGGGAGACTGCTAAGGGAATGGAAAAGAAGCAACGTTTCCCCTATCTTCAAGGGTGGGGATAGGTAAAATCCCACTAGTTATAGTCCAGTAGCTCTACTCCCAGTGGTATCAAAATTACTGGAAAGTATTATTGATGATCACATCAGGGAATATCTTGATAGGTCTAAAATACTCCATGAAGCCCAACACGGTTTCAGGAAAGGAAGATCCTGCGTCACTAACTTATTATCAGCTTGGGACAACCGGACATCATGCTGGGAAATGAATGTTCCAGTCCATGTGATCTTTCTAGACTTTGAGAAGGCATTTAACACTGTTCACCATGACCTTCTCCTACACAAAATAAGCCAGGTAGGTATAGGTAAACCACTTCTGTCATGGTTAAAAGACTACCTAACTAAAAGGCAATTTTGCACCAAGGTCAATCGAGTCCGTTCATCTTGGCACAGCTCGTCATCAGGAGTGTCGCAGGGTTCTATCCTGGGACCCCTGGTGTTCTCGATTTTTATCAACGATCTCCCATGCCGACTGAGCTGCCCAACTCTTCTATACGCTGACGACGTAAAGATATGGAGGGCGATAAAGTGTCCGGAGGACTCAGATAGACTGCAGGCAGATCTAAGGCTTCTGGAAGACTGGGCGGTGGCAAGTGGCATGACTTTCAACCTGAAAAAGTGCAAAGTAGTGAAGTTACGCACCTGTAGACTGCAGAATGCAGGTTACACCCCGTGCAGTGAAGGCTTGTCCTGCTCAACGTCGGGGCGTTGATATGGCATATCCCCTGTTTGAAGTGGTGCCTCCACCTTTACCTTGAGGACATTTGCGCGGTCTAGTTGATTTCAGTTTGGCTGATTTGTTTCGCTTGATCTAGGTAGCTGCATTTGACGTGATTCTGGCTTTTATTTGGTTTGAACTGTGTTGATTTTGTTAAGAATAGTCGTCAGAAGCTGTCTCTAAGCCTGAAGGCAGTTTTCGTGCAGGAGGATGCTAGAGAATGTGTTTCATGTGAAAATTATAGGGTGCACCTAAAATCCTTGGTGTTAACTCCTGTTTGTGGCGTCTCAATGATTTCGCAGAGCTTCGTTTTATCCTACTGATATATGTGTGATTGGATTGAAATGATATAAGGATGACAGTTTAAGAATTCAGCCTTGTGTTACATCCCAATTGTAAATGTGTTTTCTCGGATAATTCGTAAACAGTAGTCACTGAATAGAAAACATTCTGTAGAATTTATGAAACTTATTAACTGACGCAATACTTTTGCAGGCATTATAGTGTTTCCTCAATAATCCCCATCCAGGCATTAATGAAAAGAGACTCTTCGCTGATCTACGTGTTCTGTTTTCCTCAATAAAGCGAGATTTGTATATTTCGGCTGCATAAAAAGAGTAAGTGGTATCCTGGCAATACCAATGACTACAACAAGTCTTGGAATTATGCACTACAACTTTTACTTTACTGAATACTCCAGCAGATTTTAAATAAACACTTGACAAATAACTAATTTATACAGGAAGTCAGTAATATTTACTAAACTAAAAGCACTTTCGGTTTACATAAGAGTTCTCCATGCCGAATTTATTCCTCCAAGGGCCTACACAGATTACAACTTCAGTTAAATAACATTGACGTTGAAGAAATTCCATTCTTCATTACTAAACTTAATGATAATAATAATGTTTTTATTCTAGAAACAGGAACATTCGTAATGTTTCACTTTGTGTAGATGCAGTTACATACAGTTGCACTAAGAACTCAGTGCAACTCGGTGCACAATAGTAAATACACAAATAAACTGAAAAATAATGTCCTCCTTATCTTCTGAACAACTTTTCCTTATTACAGGATAATAACTTTCTTTCACGTATGGGCCTGAGTTATGTCTATGAGATCACAATATTATATCAGTTAAATCTCGCCCCGAAACCAAGGCCACTTGGAACCAATAGCAACATTGAGACAAACGTCATTGAGGGGATATGCAATAAAGTCGCTTTCAACGTCGGAACGTGACTTAGGTCTAGTTCTAACGGAGAAAATGGACACAAGCGTAAATTACACGAGGGATGTAGCGAGGGCATATGCGGTCATACACTTTACACATAGACAGTTAGGTGCACTCACTCCTGAGCTCTTTCTAAGGTTGTAGAAAACATACGTCAGACCGCACCATGAAGTGCATAATATTATTGCACTCCCACTGCTTAGAAGAGACGCCAACCTCTTGGAAAGAGTTCAACGACGGGCAACAAAAGGAGTGGTTGGTCTCCGAAATAAACCATATGATGAAAGGCTGAAGAAATTAGGCCTATTCACACTTAGTTACCGTCGTCTTAGGGGGGATTTAATTACTGCCTACAAAATAACAAATGATCAGAATCAACCAAACAAGGGTGTTCTGCCATTGAGTAGGTATATATATATATATACCGGTTGACTGACTGTTACGTTGTTACGTTTTCTTATTCTTTTTCTGTCTGAATACCTTCACTAATTATATCTATTATTATTATCTCTTTTCTATTGACGACGATACCGATGGACCAACTGGTGAAAGGATCAACTCCATTCACAGTAGTAACAGTCTTAACACACCTCATACTACAAACCACATAATAATAATAGTATATTCTCATTTTTTACATGAGGGACGCCAGTTTACAGGCATCATCAATTCGATAAATTATACATACGATTAGTAAGTATAGTTAGTAATGATAATATAATAAGGTACATATTTATTCATTCAAATATAGGACACACAAGTTGTATAGGAATGGATAAGTATTATTTAAGGTACATATTTAAATTACATGATTTACGGTTAAATAACATGGTTGTTGTCACATATAGTTAATCCCTGCACTACTCCTTTTGGAGTCAACCAAAGCTACGGCAGTCGAGTTGCGGGACGAGCTACGCAGACGTTTACCGAAGATCAGGAACCTCTACCTCACAATCAAGAGGCGAGCACAAAGAAATCAAAATGGTTTATACTAGCTCGTGAAAACGATATTGGATCCCTCACCAATTCTCAGGGGGCAGAGGAAGAGTACGATCGTTAAGTGATGAAAAGAACTATACAGGAGCCCACTGACAATTTTATGCTGTTAAAACACATCCAGGAATCGAGGTAAGAGAAATGTTTTCACACTCCATTGGATTATAAAGAATAAATTAGATATTGAGTATTGCGCGGTGGTTCTGAATGGGCCGATACGTTGATGTATTCCGGTCATACAGATTTCGTGTTTAATGGTGTTTTGAACAAGGAATGGGTGTGGAAAGGTATTAAAAGTGCCTCGCTTTATTAAAAAATAGATAACCTGTTTTACTTTCACTCTCTCAAAGTAAAAACAGAATTGTGTTATCACAATGGTTGTGTAGGATATTTTACCTTAAAGAATTTTTGGTCATTTTAAACTTTAGGTTAATACCATTTGTTGGGATGACCGTGGTGAATACATTTTATCGGGTTCAGACGATAGATGTATTGCGATCGCGAGTGCTTTTGCTGAGGTTTTTCCTGTCTTATCTGTAATCTTCGTTAACTAGGACACCCAGAATGACAACGTGTATTCTCTGAAACTACCTGCATACAGTAATATTTTCACAGCAAAGTTTCTTCCATTCTCCGGTGGAAGCGAAGTAGTCCTTATTTTCTAAAATCCTTTTCTAGATAGTTGTTGGCTTCAAATGTGGTTGTGTTGTGCACGTCAATCCCAACTCTTCTATTAAAGAAAGTTTGAAAAACGTCTTTTGCCATGGCTTTGCTGTATATGATGTAAGTTTTGATACTGTTTATGTATTCAAAATGCTTTTTTTTAACCATAGTTTCGAGGGTTTGTTATTCGCTCTAAATATCTTGAATATATCTTGAACCTAAGGTTCATGTTTCCAGGCAGCAGTTATTATTGTAACTGTTGTTACCATCTGTCTTATCGATACCCACATCTTATTTACTGGATATTATCGAGAACTTTTTATTCTATGAAGCGTCAGGTGTCGCCGTAACTGGCGACTTTAAAAGTTGGGAAGCACAACACATGAGCGTGACATATGTAAGGCTTTGAAATTTTGTTTCATTCATACGATACGGTGTCTTTCAAGACTTTCGAATGTTAATTGGAAAAAATTTGGGATGCGCTTCGCATTATTCGTGGAATAGGTATGTAGTTTAACAATATTAAACAATCACAGTGGCAAAGATGGTCCTACATATTTTTAATTTGAGCCATTGTCTCATTCGTTTATTAGCTTTGTTGTTTTTTGCTTATATAATTGCATTGGTCTCCTCATTCCTATGACTTTTCTCGTTCTCTTCTACTTTGTTGCAAACAGCTTTTAGGTGGTTATCTCAGATCCCACATGTTGGGTATTTGACCATGATCCATTTACACATTGAACAAATACACTTCGCACTTCTGGTTCCTAATACATGTCACGTGTTTTTAGTTTGTTGTTTAAAAGGCCTTTAAAAACTGTACTTTTGGTGCACATTGTTGTTATGTTCTGCAGTAGCGTCCTTTCGTTTTGACAAGATTTAGAGATCCTTAAAGGAAAAATGAGGGTGTTTCCTGTTTTCCGGGTACTGGAAGTGGACACTTGCGTACTGTTTACAAATAACAGCTACATTGCAACGACAGGTGTTTCTCGTAAAGTTTAATTCTATAATGGATTAATTTTACTTGATACTGCAAACGGTGGTACATTCTTATTTATCTACTGTTGTGTAGTCCTATTAGTTCTCAACCCTTGATTATTTTAGTAACAATACTTCCCACCATTTCTGGTGTTAAAATATCCTTGTATGTAAACAAGCCTAAAATTTTTCACATGTGACTATAAGCAGTAGATTATGCTTGAAATGTCGTCGGCAAATAAGGCGGTAGCAGTATGCTGTATCGGATAAAACTATTCTGTTGTGGAGGGGAACTCTACCACAGGTCTCAAATTCTGCTCTAATATTTCTTAAAGTTTGCCAAGGTGTTATGATCCTTTCCTTTTTCTTGAAGGTCAACAGTAAAAACTGAATGTAATCTAAGTGTTATAGGTCTCATCCATTCTTCCGAAATGTATTTTATCCCTGCTGTTCACCAAACATCTCTGTATTTTTTCAGATTCTTACAACAAATGAGATGCCCACTTGCTTTATCACACTATCTCATGATCAATCTGTGGCAATTTTTGACACGAGAGTTTCGACGACTGTACACGAAAATCAGAGCTGTAGTCGAGGATGCTTTACTCATACAAATTCACCATGGACCTCAAGGTTTTCTGCTGTCAGTCGTTTAAAGTTCCAGTTTCCCGTGACAGCAGGTGATGTTCATCCGTTAGATGGATGTCGTTCTATCGCGTTAGCGACTGCGGATGGCTTTGTACGTCTTCTTGATTTCCGAAAGCTAGTCAACACAAGTAAGTCAAACTTTCTAGTAGTGATCCGAAAGTTTCATTTCTGATGTTCTCTAGATGCTTCCCACCTGTTGGTAGAAGGACTACGATGGGACTTATTAGCTGAAGCACTCGATTTACAGTGATTAGGTCCTCAATTTGAACTCTATTTCACTTCTTTCGACATGCACTGATAAGTATCATCAGCTTTCACACTAAACGTGTGGCCCGTAACTTCCTACTTCAAAAACCTGTTCTGTGTAGCTACCTTCTAATATAACTTAATCAGTTATTCTCCATTTTAAGTGGTAAATCTCAAAAGTATCTGTTTAACAATTAACCTGTCATGTATTTTTGAGAAGAGTGTAACAAATAGCGCTCCAAATGGTGAGATTAATTTTGAAATAACCTTTCGTCTATACTAATATATAGATATTTTAGTGTCATCTTTGATTTCCTTACTACAGTAAGACAACCGTTTGAAGTCGTCTGTAGCCAGTGAATTTTGAATTGGTTCATAACATTATCAATAATGTTTTTCACGTAGTACTCGGATAATTTCATGGCCACTTTTATATGTAGACACAAATACACAAGATAATCAGCTTCTAATAACTTTATGATTTTAGTTTTCCAGCAGTGGTGTCGCCTGCGAAGTGAAACAGTAGACACTTGTGCACATTGTATATGATCCTCAGTAGGGGTCCATATAGTTTTTTCTCACAAGAGTTAACAATATCCAAACTAATAAATGTCTGCTAAGATTTTCCCCATCAACAAATCAGTAGAGTTTATTTGATTGCTTATATAAGTGAAATGCTTAACACCAAATTAACTTTATATATAAACTATTCCACGTTCTTTTCGACCCGAGCGATCTCTACATGGCGGTCGGGCTTGCATTTCACAGTAAGCTGAAAAGCTTTGTTGGTTAGAACTTATTTTTCGTAGGTCCTAGCCTGTCGGAAAAGTTGGCTGATTAGTGTTCGGACTTAAAGTGACTGATATCATAAGTTGATTTGCTTACACCGTGGGTAGGATCTGGGAACAAAGTTGCACTACTGGTGGATAAAAGTATAGTAGCATCCAGGCGTTTTCCCCGGAACAGTGAGCAAACTGCAATCTTCATATTCTAGGTGGCGAAGATTAAGTAAGGTGGATGGCGAGATGTGTACATCCGGGCCTACCCTACGTCGGTCAGAATTTCTCAAACCCTGACTGCAAACAGGTCTATGGTTGTTGCCCTTGGGTTCAGCGGTTATGGAATAGTGGTGATTTTCATCTTAAGGACACGTCAAGAAGAAATCAACTTCCATAGTGTAAACTCCTGGTACGCAGCGACCTCTGATATTTTTGCTTTCCTCTAAACGTTATCGTCATTGCTGGCGCCTTGAGCAAGGGCAGACGTTACTATTCTCCTGAAACTGTTCTTCCAATCTCATAAAGCCTGAGATGTTGGAGACATATGTGGAGACAAGTGTGGTAAAGGACCTCATTCACTGGTACCCTGGCATATTGGGCTTTAGATGTATTATGTTGAGACATAAAAATCCAGTTAGCCCCATTCGATCAATGAGGTAGATTCATGCAATCCATCCTCCGTATTTCCCGTCTTGAAGTTAGCGTTTAGTTCCATCCGTCAAAAGATTTTCAGCAATGTTTGAGTATATAAGGAGTGCTGAAAAAATGTTATCCCTATCAAGATACTCTATTCAAACTCATACACTTTCTGAATTAGTGTTCTTCAGAGATGCTAAATTATACCGTTTCGATTTGATTTCGTCGTAGATATACTGATGGATATACCATTGACCGATCTTAATGTCTCGGATTGAGCTAAGATGAGATTAAGCAGGTGATATTGTCCTTTATGGATAAGATTTCATTTTGATAAATCACACAGTGTAGTACAGTAATATTAACTGATGACGTTTCGAGCTCAAATTATTGCTCACAATCATACAAGATACTCACATAACTTTCTTGCTTCGTTTATATACATGAGGAAAAATTTATTAGACATTCGAATAAAATCAATATAAGATAAAGTGCATTCGGAAATAATATTAGTGTTATCAATAAAATACAATCAGATGGGAAATAAGATGTTTATATAGTAAAATAAATAAATAACTTGTTAGAATGTTATAGTGTGAATTGAATACATGTTAACATTATTTATTATTTATTTATTTTATTTTAATTTTTAATTTACAGCTTGATTCCACACCGTATTTTCAGTACAAATGTGGAATTTTCAGCATGGATATCGGTTGCCCAAATTCAGGCATACCATAGATATCGGGTGTGCGCCGGCAGGGGATCGAACCCCGGACCATGTGCATGGTCGGCGAGAGTCCTAACCACTGTGCCACCGACGCACAATTTGACTGGTAATAGTATCTTCCATATCTCTGGTATTTGCGTTGCGTCATTTCTGTTGTATTTGTTGGGTGTATAGACTCGATAAACCAGGATTCAGTAATCAGCCTCTCTCTCCACCTACCTATATTGCTTTTTAGAATTTTGACTCTGTCCCACCCTATTTTGTGGTTGTGTGTTGATACAAGCAGTGCTATAGCTGAGCTGATCCCACAAGGATAAGTAATTTAGAAAAAAAAAACATATCAATATCACTAATATTATTTCCGAATGTACTTTATCTTATGTTGATTTTATTCAAATGTCTAATAAATTTTTCCTCATGTATATAAACGAAGCAAGAAAGTTATGTGAGTATCTTAATATGATTGTAAGCAATAATTTGAGCTCGAAACGTCATCAGTTAACTTTACTGTACAACACTGTGTGATTTATGGAAATGAAATCTTATCCATTATGGAGTTATACTCTACCACAGTGCCCAAGTTTTATACTTATATCGGTATTGTTCTTTTTTCTGAAGACTTACCAATGTAGTCTTCCGGACAGTGAGCAAAAGTTTGTCTGTGGTTGGCTTTTGATTTTCGCTTATCATTTGTAAGACGATGATACGGGATCTATTTGCAATGACTTTCGGTCTAAGTATAGGGTGTGAAGCAGTTGAGCGTGTTGGCCACTTTATCGATTGATGACACAGTCTCAGTCTAGGTACAAATGCATTATTTGACATTTGATAGCTGGAGTTATCTTTTACGCAAGCATGAGTAATAATAATCATTTGCTTTATTTCGAAATCTGACTATCTACCAAACCTCATGTGTACACTTCGTTCAATCCTACTGTACGCCTGAGATATAGTAATCAAAGGTGAGACATGAAAATGGTCAGAGATTTGTAAACAAAAGCTCTTTCAATCTCTAGTTTTGGTTGGGTTGAGCTATATGGCCAGTGGTAATGAAGTCATGTAGAGAGCATTAGTTGATGACAGAATGACAATCCATTTGGTTTTGGATTTGCACCGAATGAGGTGCATAGGATGTGTATTGTACATACACGGAACCGCTGTCTTTCTTTATAAGCTGAAGTAAAACTAGATTAGAAGACATTCCTTGACAAGGGTTAAATGAAAATTTGGAACCAGCTCGTCAGGTCAATGACTGCTGGTCTGAGCCACATAGGGATGTGTAGATTTCCCACTTGCAGTCTTCGGGACGTTAAGCATCAGTGGTTGGAGACTGTTTGTCACATGCCTCAAAATTATAAATGTATTCATTCGTTGTTATCATCCTGATATGTTTCTGAATTCTGTTTTTGCTTATTGTTTTGATGGTACATCTCGACCTACTCCCAGTTTGTGTGCTTCAGTCTCTGTAAGTTGAAAAAGATACATAGAATTTAATAATTGGACTTTAACAACCTTTGTATTATTAGCTACGGAGTGTTGACCATGATAGTATTTCATAGCTGTAACTGTCGGATAGAAAAATTTAATGGGTATTTAGTGAGAACCGAAAGATGATTGTTATTCACAAAAACTAATTAACAAGCCTGGTAGAAATAAAGAATATTTGTGATTTAATCCGTGTCTGTTTACTAGCAGTCAAACATTATATAGTCGAAGGATAGAAATAAAACTTTTTTCTAGAGTGAAAACAAACGGCTGTTCTTCACCGTCCCATCTGATTTGTTTCAAATTTACACTCCATTTTAATTTTGTCTTCAAAAGCAGATTTATAAGCATTACTCAGTTAGGCATGAATAATAGTGTGGGAGAATTTGTGTGGTTGGTCCGAAAGCATTTTAAGGGAATTTTAATGTGATTTTAATGTCCTTAAAAATTTAAAATTATGTAACTCTGGGTGGTTATGTAACAGTGATGCCTTTAAAAACTTAGTTGACATTCATTTTTAGTCTCGAACCTATTTATGTTTATCTAAAAGTTCTGTGAGCGCCTTCTCTCTGTTTGCGCAATGAGTCAAAAGAGTCTCGTTTGGGTGACGGGTTCCAGATTCATTTACTTCAGGTTGGGCAACCGGGTAATATCAGCCTTCATACAATAGGTGTGTTTCTTGAATGGCGGATAAAAATATGTCCTGGGTTACTGAGTTGAATTGAAATCATCTGTGTTTTTAAAGTATACTTTTTTGATGTTTTCAGCGTCTTCCACAGCAGCTATGGGGGATTCACCGGTTCCTGTGCCGTTTCGTGTAGCCAGACCTCTGGGTTTACCTGGAAAGTTAAATTCAAACCAAACTTTCCGGTTGGACTATGGACCATGCCACATTACTTCAGTTAGATTCGAGCCAATTTATGATAGGAATACCGCGCAGTTTTTGTTCCCCACTGGTCGGAGGCAGTCCGCGTTTTCAAATACAGGGGGAAAACACCTACTTGTTAGCCACATGTACTCTCCTGTTTTCTTATATGATATAAATGCAGAAGAATCCATTGAAGATTCCCAAGTAACAGTAAGTTCTTTTTTTGTCTTCGGCTAACTATTTTCGTCATTTAGTCGATTCCCAAATTTCTGAATGTTGTCACGGCAACTCGTCTTATTGATACATCAGCCTTCCTGAAATTGTTAAAGGTGCAAGAATGCTTTACCCTGTTTTTGGATTATAACTATATGTAGTTGCAACAACCTTTAAATTTAAACAGTCTTTAAGCTGTAGTGCAGTAATTAATTACAGGCTAATTACATTTTCCATTTTCTTCCCAACTATGTAGTACATGAACATCGAAATACGTACATTATAAAAGATAAGCACGTTTCTGTCAGGCTGGTAGCACTTATATACACAAATCTGGCTTTGAAATAAGACGCAAATGGAATAAACAAAGTACACGGTAGTACACACGGTTTCGTTATTTCCCACCACAACTTTGCCTAATTTTTTGAATATACTATCATCCTGTAAATATTCATTCTTCTTGGTAATTAACTTTTTACCAGAACTGTTTCCACTACATCTAATTTTTTCAATTTATACATTTTGATATTCACTCATTTGAAAAGAGTCTAAAATGAAGTAACTTCAAATTGCTCAATTACAATAGTTGTTCATGGGTTGTATAAGTTCACTAAGGCATCTTTATAATTTCCCCTAGAAAATAAGTGGTCGTAAGAGCTTTATGTTTCAAACATGTGAAATAGTATTGCATTTTCTTGTGTTCTGTCATATTCCGCGTTCGAGTAGAGCATTTCAAATCCTACCGAGTGGGTAATGATATCAGCTTAGTATTTGTTGTATAAAATTATATGTTGCTTTGCATTTATTTTCATTCATTATACGAAAACAAGCTGGACTTTTCTATCTGTACTATTAACTTGATTTGTAATTAATGCCTAAGAAGTTATGTCGCAAGAATATTAGAGGAAATGGAAATAAAATAAATAAAATTCACAACCTTTTAAGCAGCTTCATCACCTTGTATGATGTACATTAACAATTATATTCTAACAGCTGACTCCTAACAAGTTTAAAGAGTGGTGACGGGAACACTTTACTCTATCTTAATCTAGAACTCGTTCTATTTGATTCGGTACGTAGAACTGACAAATCTCAATGCAGTGCTGCGTTGATGCAACACAAAGCAGAGAGCTCATACTTCTCGCATAATTTTCTTGACAGCATCATACGTGATAGATAGCACGAAAAGTTACAAAGCAGTATGTTACCCATTGACTTCTAAGAGCATCATTTGTTTTTGTCTACCTTATTTCTGTTACTTAAGTATGAATCTGCTACTTTAGTTTTGTGTGCATTTTGTGTTTAGTGATACATTGAAAAGGAGGTTACTTCAGTGCGGCAGAAGTGTGGTGTTGCTGTTGTTTTCAACATTGACTAATTGCTATTTTGGATATCAAAAGTAACCTTTGCACCAGTAGTTGAACGCCTCATTATCTCATATCCTTACATTTAAGTAGTTTGAAGCCATCCTGTGGTTCATATACTTGTAGGAAATGTTCACAAATATACAGTTTATATTCTTGTCGATGGGTATCAATTTTTATACAAAAACCTTAGCTTTGTTAATATGACAGTGAGAAGTGACTTGAGTGAATAAAGCCTTCACTGTATTGCCTAACGAATCATCTTTCCAGCAGCTGTCTAAATATTTATACATTTTTCATTTTAGCAACCTGATTGGCTACCGGATAGTGATACATCATCTACTGAATCTGAATCTCCTGGTTCACCAGAAAGTAAGTTTTACACTATATCATTTCTCTGATAAATTTTTTGAATGCTTACTCTTTTACAAAGAAGTAGTCACCTCCACATGTATATGTTAAGTTTCCAACTCTGTGAATCAAATTCATAATTTGCAAATTAGTTCGCATTTTACACAGTTCGAGGTGATTATTTCACTATAATTTCCTTTGGGAACTGAGATTGTTCGGATCACAATATGTGATCTGCTTGATCCGATAAATGGTAATCAAGAAACCAAGCCTATATGCATAAAACTGTATACTACTGATTGCTTGAGATGAGTAGTTCTATACCACCAACATCAAACAGCAGTGTTTGCTAGCCAGGTCGAAGTTATCTAAACGCCCAGCAGCAAATTCGATTGTATGGGCAAAGCGTGATACAGATAAAATTAATCTGAAAAAATCATCTATGCTGTATGTATGACTGAATTCAAACTATTTGCACACAAAAAGTTGTAAAGTATTATTATCAGCGATAGTTGGTATGTTTTTATGGTGTCATGTTGATGTCTGAAAGTTTTGCTGTTCTCTTTTCAGTGAGTATGTGTGCAAAACATCAAACAGTATAGTGCAAATTATGACAAAATTTCTTAGACAGAATTAAGCCTACATTGAGCTAAAGATCTATTGGATCCATGTGTCCGTCATGAAGCGTTACTCTTTCATCAGCCTCATTTTGATAGGCTTCAGAGTGCTTTTTACATTCTATTGTTATATTAGTTTTATCCAGTGATGACTGTGATAGGATTTGCTTTCTGGTATTTTCGGTGTTAACGAAAGATAGAGATTGAACCAAAATGTAACTATGATTTGTTGTTATATTTTCCGTTGATTAGTTTGATTTATCGGTGTATCGTTAGAAAAGTTAAACTTATGATACAAACTTCAAAATTGAAGAGTTGATATTGTCATCTAGGTTTGAGAACGGGGTACTAATTTCAAATTATATTCCATATTATACTGACTACTTCATATATACGTCAAAGTTAACGAGATGTCAGAGTTGGCTATTTCCTACACCTCACTGTACTCTTAAGTAGGTAGTTTCTGTTGCCTGCTAAAGTTAAGGAGTAATTAAATTAACCCATACAACTCATACACTGCTATTTCAAGTTTTACCGTCTGAATAGTGGTTTGAGTCCTTGAAACTGGGAATTCATTTTTTTCAATTCGTGGGGTTTATTTTAATTGTTTTTCATACGTATTTGAAGTTGTTTTTTCAAAGATTCAGCTTTCTGAATGTCATGCGACTAATGCATCGCCTAACTAGATTATTTCTTAATGTTCGCTGATTCCATACTTAGTTGATTTTCGGAGGTTGGTTTTCATCGGCTAAAACTGTTTATCAATAAAAATCTCTTTCATTCTTTCTAGTTTGGGACTCCTCATCCTTGAGATATTAACAGGTATTATGTCAAGGATTGTACTGCGTAGAGACCCGTTAGTTAACATTTATTTACTCTTGACAATTCATTATGTATCACGAGCATAATTTAATTTTGTGTCCAGTTTCTGTCCGTTTATTCTGCTTGATTCGCTTCACGGTTCATGACCTCTGATTAGATCATCCAATCATCCATCTCGCATGAACATATATTCAAGTAGCTTATTGGTAGGTAGGCCATTGTCATCAATTTCTCTCTATTATTCTTTTTTTTCCAGGTAGTCCCATTACAGATCACAGTATTCGTCTGACAACTGCTCTTTATCGGTAAGTTTTTCTGTGTGGTTTTACATAATCATGTACTTTTGGTGAATGGGGGAGTCTATCAAAAATCGTGTGAATGTTCATGTAATTGGTCCTGAATCATATTTATTGCATAAGGGCTGGTTTTCTCGAAATTCAAAAAAATGGGGCAAAATTAAAATCAATTGAAAGTCAAGAAATTAAACCACTGTGTAACAGCTCTAGTTTTAGTATTGTTCCTTATACCGTGTAATGCATAATTACATGATTCCATTTTTGTTGCCTTACAAGCATTTACTGTTCTATTATCCTTGAACAGCCGACTATAATTTCTCTGTGCAAATTATATTCTGAAAAGGTTTGAAATCAATTATAAAAGAAGTTTTGATGGAAAATCTCTGCATATACTTTTCTCAGGCATTTTATCACCTAATATATATAAAGTAGCAAGCATCTTAACGTTTCAGTACTGCAACCCCAAGGAGCCTTGAGACTTTTTAATTAATTCAGTAATTATTGTGTTTTGGTTTCAACGAACCATCCAATATATCACAGATACTTATTCTAGTGTGGCCTTTGCTGATAACAGGAATTAGTCAGAATTTAGAATATCGGAACAAAGAATTAAGTCGCAAAGACAAGAAATGAATATTATTATGCAACAATATAGAAAGCATGATATGATGACAAAAGTGGCAGAGTATGGATAACTTTTGCAAACTGAAGTGTCAGGGTCAGCTTTGTGTTTTCTGCCATCACTGTACATCATTTTGCCAAACAAACAAGATGTTGTCCGGAAGGACGACGAAAGCTTCGCGACTAAACCAACCAGCTCAGAGAACACTTTTAATTGCAAACAATCCAGCTGCCAACTATCACTAGTAATAATGGAGGTTTATTTGTTGCATGTATTATTTTTCATTCATAACACTTACGACCGTTTCGTTATGTTTCTTTTATCGTCGTTTAGTTTTGTTTTTCTGTTTATCGAATTTATTTTCTGCCTAAAGCCTTTTGGGGCGTTTTAAGACTGCTTCATACTTTCGGTTTTCTCTTCTTCAGTGTGTAATTTTGCTTCTTAACTTTTATATTTAATTACTTCTGGTTTATAATACCTTTTAAGAAGCAGTGAGGTGTTTTTTTTAGTAAATCAGATAAAAATCCTGTTTTTTATGACATATTGTGAGCATAGTTAGGACGTAAATTACATATTAATTCTTCACATGTACCTTTCCACTTTCTTAACAATACAATTTCGCAGCTGGCTTACGCATCATCGATCTAGAACAAGTGTCAACTCTGAGGACGAGATAGCAGATGGATCTCCAACAGCTTCTACAATTCATTCAGAATCAACGGAGAGAGAGACTGCTAATCAAGGTATCGGATATAAATTCTTGTAATTGTTCTGTTGGATGAAAGAATTTGCAAAGTTTTTCTCGAGTTTCGGAAAATTTTTGTGCGATAATTGTTTGTTTCAGTGTTAATTTCGTTGCGAATTGTCATCAGTTAGAGTATCGTTGAAAATCGCGGGAGTTTCGACATTTGTTTTATCCTAGTCTGGTACTTTTTAGCAGTGAGCACCAACGACCCCACCAGGATCGAGCCCAGGACCTCCAAGTTACGTAGCGAGCCCGTTGACTGTTCAGTCACTGTCTTGGGATCCAGTAAACCCATGAATTCTAAATTCTGTCATCCTCGCTCTGAAGATATTACTTGTAACATTCTGAATAAATAAAAGTAAAGTTTACCCCACGATCATCTGTGTTAATGACTTTCATCGTTGTACGCTGAGTAGACAATAGCAAATGTATGTAAATGAAACTAGAAACAAAAGTATTATTTAATGAATCTTGGAGTACGTGTGCCATCCTTAAAAGTGCTATGGTAGCGTCATTCTGAAGAGATGAGACAGTCTTTCATACCTTCTTGAACAGTTTAGTTACCTTCTTGTTGACAGTGTCACTGGCCCTGAAATGCGTTTTCAGTGAGTCTCCATGGCTGTATTATCTACGTTTCTTTTACACGGCTTTGAAGGTTTGATCATGTTAGCAAGCTGTAGAACTCCTATGTGTACTTTCTATAGTGTTGATAAAGTTAATCAAGTCGAATGTGTTAGGATTCTGGGTTTTATTTTGAAGATTGTTGTTTGTCATTCCAGTTACCTCATGGATTGTCTCATCAATATCAAACTTCTTAATCCTTGTTTCATAGTGAGATCGGAAAAGTTCATCGCTTTTTAAAACAAATTGTTCATTAGGAATATATGCTAAGTCTTTAAATACAAAGGCAAAATACATTTTTAGAAAGCAAAGAGTCATACTTTAAATGATGGATCTAATATATTTTACGTTTAAGAATGTTTATCAAAGTTGTACTGAAACATATAAGGAAAAACTTCCACATACCATTCCTGAGCGTTTACTTGAGTTCTTAGTCAACTTTAGAATTAGAGTCCCTCGATTTAAATATTTAACTGTAAACAGTTAGGTTAAGAACGAAACTAACTGTAATGATGTTGATCTGAGTATCGATCTTGAGTATTTTTATCCTTACCTTTGAACGAAGATGAAGAACTAACTTATCTGCAACAGGTCTTAGTTAAAGAAAAAAAGTCAATCATGTCGGTTTAATCGAAAGCACGCGATTGAAGCATCAAAAGACATAATTGATTGAAATAAACATAATATATGCTGACAAAATCAGCCGTTACCAACATTTATTGACATAATTTAATTTCGCATCACATGTGACGCCAATGATTGTATTCTTTGGCTGGAAGGGCCAATCAATTATTATCACTACATTTGAAAGCTAGATCTGATTATAAGTTACACGTCGGCTTTGTGTGTATGTAATTTAGAACGGTCTTTAAAGTCATTCGCAGGTTCTTTGTTTTAATAACTTATTGGAATTTCATGATCAATATACTTTTATGTGAATAACACTTTGCTGCTGTGTGAAAATGTATCAAAATAGTTTTACACACTGATTATTGGTAGATAGTGGTCACGAAAACGTCAGAGAAATTACTTCATGGAATTGGAGAAGTTCCAATTACTTCATTAGTTCAACCTTTTCATTGATGTGGCGAAAGTATCGTTAATTGAGGGAAATACATTAATAAAATAACTCAACATAGTTTCCTGGACAAGTTTCATGTTCCTTATGGTAAACTATAATTATAGTATTATAGCTGCTATGAGGTCAATAGGAAGTGACTCTCCAGTTGAAAATCAAGTGCCTAGATATGGTTAATCCTGTTGTGTATGCATTATTAAGAGAGTCATCTCGTCTTTTGTGCAAAGACTTTTGTTCGCTGCAAATGCATTCCTATTTTATTATTTCTCAGATTCTCAACAAAAAATGAAATTTCCTATCGACTATTTGACAGATGATTATATTTCTAATGTCATGAAATCCGCTCCCAGATGTCGTCAAGTAATGAAATTTAGTGGCCGTATATGTTGCAGCACTGTGGTATGTTACCTCATCATATTTTTAATTCATTCAACCGTCCTTATGATCAGCCGTATAGAGTTAACGTATTTAAATATAATATGTACCTGAATTTTATTATTTTAATACCTCACTGAATATATTCACAAGTACTGAATGCTGAAACTTAACATGAAAAATTGCTAACTGAAATCCAAAATCATTGAACTTGCAGTTGTTTTTAATCGTTTTGGTTCAGAACAGAAGTGTTAACAAAACATGATCATTTTAAAATATAGTGCTGAACATATAAGTATGAGTATAATCATTATGAAAATTTGAAAAAAGGAGGGAAGGTAAAAGAGTAGTGAAGATAAGTACTGAGAAGAAATAAGTTGCTTTAAGTACATTTTTTTTAGTAAATGCTAATTAGCGCGAAAATGGCATCACTGCGTAGTACAAATTGTATTTTGATTTATGCCTGAATTTTTCGGCCAAAGTTGAACTATAGCGCCCCAGACGAACAAGTGTACCAATGATCCTGAACCGGCCAATCACGCAAAAAAAGCATTTTATATAAGAATAGTGTATCTATGAAATAAATGATTAATAAATGCTAAAAATCCCAAACAGGGTGTCATTCCTTTACATGTCGCAGGAATGTATCGCAGTTGCTCAGTAGAGTCTTAAAATCGAACTATATCCTGTGCATATATTTGCCTAGATGACTGTAGATAGTGTCATTTTGAAGTTCGGTTTAGGCTCTAGTCTTATTTATCAGTATCTTTTAATGAAGTTCGTATGAGTGTCTCTTTCTCGGGGGTCTATGAAATCCATGGAATGATTAATTCCGTGATGAATACAACACAGAAATGATAAACCCACCCATTCATCAGTTTTGATAGTTCTTTGTCAGATACTGTTCTTATGCACTAGATAATTACTGGAAATTACTACTTTCCACTTACAGATAAAAGCGTCAACGTTTTGGGGACGGAATTTTATTCTTTCGGGATCTGAGTGTGGTCATTTAATCGGTTGGGACCGTGCTACAGGAAAGCCTGTAATCGCTATTAAAGCAGATGCATCAGTTGTTAATCGAATTATACCACATCCCCAGTTACCAAGTAAGTTAGCCTCATTTTTAATTAGTGATAGTGTAAAATTCGTGTCTAAAATGGGTGTCTGATTTCAGCATCCCACTGTACGACTTGGCTGGAAAATACTAGACGTAGGTTACATTTCTGTTCATCAGTCTATATGTTATCATTTATATACTTCAATGTTCTTTCTTAGTGATAAATTGACGTACCATGTAGCCAAATAGGTTGGAATGTATTACATGCATGCATACAATCGCTCATTCTTGTAATGTCGTGTTCATTTTATTCGTTTGACTAAGTCTAGTAATGTACAAACCCAGGTGGTTGGAGGGAATAGGTAGGAAGCCTTTGACACCTAACTTTTATGTTTATTGGTAATCGCCAGCATACACATACCATACTCCGATGGAACTGTTGTCTCCTTTGAGTTTCAAACGCCTATCACTCAGTATTAGAGTCACAGATGCCAGCCCTAAGTTATTGGGTACACAACCGATCTCCCGTAGAACTGTTATAATCACATTGATTATTCATTGAGGTAGTAACCAATGCGATTCTTCCTGCCGATTGCCACTAGTCACCTAAAATCAATTCAGAGTGTAGGTGAATCTCCAAAATGAATGATCAGATTGTAAGACTTAACTAATTTAATGCGGTCAGCATTAACGGTTAGATATCATGATACTGGTAACTCCCTTAGTGGCCAAGCAAAGTGATTAAAACAGTAGCTTTCAAGGCTGCTTTATAATAAGACAATTTTAATATTGCATGAATGCAGACATAACATTTTGTTTATATTATCCACATCTGTACTCTGACTAGTGGGGGAAACGTTGACTTAAGTAGTTTATTTAGTTGAATTATTGATTAGATTTGACCCCAATCTTCTTAAGGGTAGCATCTCCAACTGCAATAGTGTGGTAGATAGAGCGCGAAACTTATCGAAGAAATGTATCATTTCAGTCTCCTATGTTTTATTTGTGCAATAATATGATGTTAAAATAAGCCAGTAAAATGTGGGGGAACAGAGTATACATGGACGAATCATAACAGCCATTATTGTTAATTAAACTAATGATAGCCAATGATTATTACGGCTAGTAATCAGTGTCATGCATTTTGGTTGTAAACCTCTTTTAGGCATACTTCAAATTTAAACTCTGTGAATAGAACACCCATGGAATTATCTAAATATTTCTGTGAGAAGTCGGTTACTACAAACAGAAAGAATCAAACAGACTGAGTACTTCCGAATGTACCGCAGTTACTGCCTTCTAAATGATTGTCTTTTCTTCAAATCCCTCACTTTAAAATAGTTCAGAACTTTAACAAATACAGTTTAAGAAGTCAAAATATATTGGTAGAAGTGTCTGACAAATAGTCTTCAGATTATGCACAAATTTATAGAATATACATTTATTGTACTTGATTCGGTAGTTTGCTACAGAAGTCCTCACAACTTTAACTCTTTAACAAGAAGAAAATTAGTGAAATCACTGAAAGTTTGAGTGAAATGGGATTAATATTTTGTTGAGTGTCTGTTTTTTGTCGCTTAAAGCTTCTGTGGCAATAAAAATTCAAAACTGTAAATAGAAACGAAGTGGAGAGAAATCAGTTTCTCAATCTTTTTCTTGTAATCAGCCTTCACATTTCTCAATGGTGGTCACTATTGCAACCAGCATACTAAATGTTCTATTTTGAGGGTCTTTATATGACTTAGTGTTATTTGCTTTGTTTTTCTTTCTAATTTGTTACAGTAATTGCTGTAAGCGGAATCGACCGGTCAATAAAAATCATTGAACCAGATCCAAACGTTTATGAAGAAAATGCTAATGATGATAGTGATGGTAGTGAATTATCAGCCTTTCAGAGAGTTGTGAAACAACACGAAGAGAAAGCCAGCGAGGTATGTGAATGTCAGATTATATATAAACTATTTTTCTACTTTATCTGTCCTAGGAATGATTGTATGTAATTCGGTTTTCTTCTAATATTTTATTAGCAGTTGTATATGTCATGTATGATTCAATCCTAATTACATTGACTTGCAATATTTCGACAATAGTCAGTTACATAAAACTTTCCGCTTAATACTTGTGTTGATTTGCTCCTTTCCAGAAAATAACGAAAGTTAAACAAGCTTGTTTAAACGGTATTTACTTATGAACAAGATAGATTAGTTTCTAGATACTGGAAAACAAATTCAATTAGATGGTTGCAGCCAAGACTAAATATTTGTTCACTGCAACCATCTTTTTGTTTTTCCCCGAGATATCAAAGCGTCATGTGATAAATCTAAAGAGTTTAAACAATATCTAAATTATAATAATAAGAAAAAGGCATGGTTGTACAATAAGTGTAGTCTGGAATTTGAGCTCCCAATGACATTTAATGTGAGCTTTGAATTGCAACTGTCAGTTGAATCACTCCTGTGTAAATAATGGAGAGCATTTGTAGTTTTTAATGTTGTATTCTCTGAGCTTGATAATTTCGTTGTTCTTAAGTGTCTAAAACATTAAACTACAAATATTTGTGTCAAACAAACTGTCATTGTCTTCATAAACATTCATTCTAAATGGACTAAATTTTGATTGACAAAAATGGCTTATTGACTTAAACATTCGACTCTTCTTTAGGGCCTCATACGTTCATCATTATCTTCAACCACTTTACTCTTCAGGACCATAAAATATCATAAGCTTTTAAAGAGGTAGATTATATTCGCATAGCTAAGTTGCTTCTGCAGGAAGTATTTATTGTAGCGATCAAAGTGGAGTACGATATATGATTCCTGAATACTCCTTTCACGTCTGGCTGACTGTATGCCTTTGGTAATTCAGCCTAAGATTTATCACAGTAGCATACATACACTTATATCTTACATTCATCTTCATTTGCTTTATGGCGTTCAACACCTGTCCAGAATATATATGTATATATTAGATGGTTGGAGGCAATCGGCAGGAAGCCTTCGACCTAGGTTTCGTGCTAGTTGGCACTCATCAGCAAGGCGTATCTGCAACCTTGAAGGAACTGATGTCCCTTCTGAGATTCGAACCCACGTCACCCAGTGCTGCAGTCAGAGGCGTTACCACTGCAGCACCGTGTGACGCGGGTTCGAGTCTCAGAAGGGACATCAGTTGCTTCAAGGTTGCAGATACGCCTTGCTGATGAGTGCCAACTAGCACGAAACCTAGGTCGAAGGCTTCCTGCCGATTGCCTCCAACCATCTAATACCAACAATTCACAGTGCACCGTAATGGCGAGCCACCTAGCATGGTGGCCACATTGCAAACATGACTGATAGAATTCAGTCTGCACCGAAGATAGGACTAGACGCATTACACTAGTTACTGACTAGTGTGCAATCAAAAGTATATATATGTATAATCTTGGATACTGGAGTCCAGGGTGAAGAATTTCGTGGGACCAGGAGTTCTGGCATATGAGGGCTCATGTTGATTGGTGTTCACGCTAAGCAAGAGCCGATATGGATGACCTTTCGGAGAGAAGGTTGTTCAGGTCAACTAGGGAGTGGCAGGTCGGCCAAGGCGACAGAAGTCCTCACGTGGCATGGTAGCGAGATAGCACCTGTAAATGTGGACCAAGTGATAGCCCGGTTGGCGCGTAGAAACCGTCTCCCATATATATATATATATATATATATATATAATTTTCAATCTTTTTTCTTTTCATTATTCCCCATGTCATGTGTAGTTATGGCATATGGTAGCTTAAGTCACTACGTATTTCACTTATCGTTTACTTCAGAGAAGATTGTATTTTGTTTAAAACACTCATTGAATATTTTCTTATTCGTTTTCTAAGAAACAGTATTTTGGTGCAAAATGTATCAATTTCTTACGGTTGGACTACACCAAAGTATGAAAAAACCAGTTTCAGGGATTCTTCAATAGTTGACATTGCACAATGTGCAAGATAAGTGTGATAATAAATTGTTAAGTTTTCTTAGACACTATCACACCATGATTGTTTCCATTACTGTTCACTCAGTCGTTTTTGTGACCCAGGTATAAGTATCACTGAATTCAGTAATTTCTCTTACGTTGAACTTAATTTCAACCCACCCATATATGTAGGACACAGTAACTCATATAACTGAGTCAATCAATGCAGATCGAAGCTAACATTTTCTCCGTACATGTGTGCCTATATTTATACTTAAGGACTCCAACAAATTCAATAGGTTTCCTTAAACCGTAGAATTATCTTTATACTTTGAAGTTATTTTGCGACAACTCACAAATGTTTACCACTAACTTTAAAACCCTAGGTTTGAATTATGCAGACGATTTGCTCTATTCTTCACATGCTTCTTGCTATTCTGTGTATAATTGTATGGGGTAATGTAGGTACAGGGTAGAGATAGTAGCACAATATAAATTGTATTGAATTTTAAATTTTATCATGCACGTCAGTACCTTCTGATGCCTATAAATCTTAAGAATATGTGATCACACTGGGATGCGTGAACTTCTTGTATGCACTGATACTATCGTAGTGTTAAACATTCCATTGAAAATAGTATAGCTGAATATTACGCTTAGACAGTTAACTATAATTAGCAGATGAACTCACAGTTATTGTAAACCACAGTTTACTTTTAAAACAGTTCGTTATGTGTTTATGTACTATGCGTTCATATTTTATAATTAAAAATTCATTGTGTTGTCGCTTTTGTATTACTTCTTTGTGTAGTTGTGTCGAACCAATGAAATAAAGACGAAACAAATGCTGAGTTCTGGGAGTACTCATTTGGATAGTATTGCTCGTGTACGGACTAGTAGAGGTATGTTGTAACTATTTGTAAGAAATTGTTTTCATAATTTTTGAATCTGTACAAAATAAATGTCAGAAGCTTAATCTCTTTTTTTTATTCCTTTACGTTCCCAGTGGAACATAGGGCTTCAAGCAGTGTTATTAACTTTTACGGGATTGAGTTGCTAGCCTCATGCCCAACCTCCCCTCTTTACCAGTCTTACTACTGGCTTAGTGAGGTAAGGGATTGCGTTGGTTGGGGATCGAACCCCGGACCACATGCGAGCATTCTACGACTGTGCCACCGATGCACAGGGTAATCTCTATAAATCGGTTTTTAATTTATCTTTACAAGCAACTACACTTAAACGCAATAAATCATAAGTGACTGCTACTTTTCAAAAGTTATCCCCTAAAAAGTCAAATACTTCTGAATCAGTTAAATGTGTATAAAAATGGTATTTAACCTACGGTCGCGAAAATTCACCTCTTTCATCGGTCGGCTGAGTATTAAACTTTGTTTGCTAAAAAAAGACAGTCTTCGAAATGTAGTTAACTAGCAATGCTTTTCTCGTTCCCAAATTATCTGCTAGTTTATTGCCGTCATCATGAACTTCACTTAATAACCTCGTTGACTGAAATTCAGTCAGATAATCACTGTTGGAATTATATTCATTATTCAAAATATAAACAGCCTTTTCAGTGAATGAAACAGCAACATAGGTGCTTCATTAATACACCGTTCACTAGCTATGTGTTGCTAGTAAAGTTAGGTAGCATGTGCAGATTCCAGTGTTTGCGTCATGTTTTAGTTAATGAAATAGACACAAATAACCGTCTCAGAAAAGTCGCTTAAGTATGTAGAATTTTGGAAAGGTGAAGTAGTCGATAGTTGTGCTAAAATTTACAAACTAGCGTAGCTGATGCACATATACTGCTTATGTCGATAAAAGTAAATTTAAATTGTTATGGCGGTGAATTTGATATTACAGAGAAGGAGTTGCTTTTAGCATGATCAATCGAAGATGATGTTTAACAAATATTTGTTCAAGTGCTAATTGTTGACTAACTCGCTTCTAAACTAATTCTCTCTCTGTGATATTTAGCTGAAAGTAGTTCGATGATTTCATCGAAATATAATTAACCTGTAATAGTTGCATAAGAATAACGCTAAACGTTAAGTCATAACATATGCGAATTGTTTTGCGTTTCATAAGATTTTAACAAATCCATAGGAAACAACTATATCCACAGTGTGTTTTTCATTGGTACCACTTTGCGATGAATTGATATAAGAACGGAACTTGACCACAGCGGTAGACTGACTCACTGACTGGTTTCAATATATAACTTTACAAAGATGTGCAGAAGTTCGAGTCGCCACACTCCATGTAGCACACAAAGAAAGGGAAGAAAGTAAAAAGAAATGCAAAATAGAGACAGTAAACAAGATAAGAGGCGAAAAGAATAGTAATATCGAAGAACAATATAGTTTTCTGGGTATTATAAGTTACAAGGAATGGATGCATCTGCACTATGCATTAAGAACGATTTTGAGCCATATCACCAATTGTCTCCAGTTGTCATTGGTGTTTACCATCTCGAGGACCCCAACCACAAAGTCTACAACTCCCTACGTGGCTAGCTAAAACTAACTTTTGTGGATTTCATTGACTGATGAAGCCATGTTTTGGTTTGACCACCACTGGCTGTTTTCCAGCCTGACTCTATGTCAGTCAACATTGCCCGTCGTGGAAGGAGATGACTAGGCAGACGTAACACATATCCTAACTATCTCAGTCGATGTTGCTTCACACCCTCGTCTATTGATTTCCCCTCCCTCCTTACCTAGCACTCGATGGATGCCTAACCTCGATATTACTCATCCTATCATACGACTTAACACGGAAGATGGGACGCAGGCACTTATGATCAAAGACAGCTAGCCAGCCTTCTCATGTCTTCCACTCTCAATGGCCAGGTCTAACTACCATAAAGGAGGATGGGGCGGACTTCTGAGCAGTACACACGTCCTTTGGTCAGTATTCGGATATCACGTCTACGCCAAAGACGGCGTAAACTGACATATGCAAAACTAGCCTTCTGTATCCGTGCCGAGATTTCGTCGGCGATCGACCCGTTGGGGCTGATGCAACTTCCCAAATAAGTGAAGTGGTCAATGCGCTCTATCACTTCACTACCTATTTCTAAGCTAGGAGTAGTCGACGTAGTCCAGTCCTGTAGCATCATCTTGCATTTGACAGCAGGAGCGGATCGCATGCCAAACATTCGAATACCGCTTGTCCCCAAGGTGTTCAGAAGACCCTACATTTTGTCAGCGTCTTCACCTAGCAGGGAGGACTATACCATCTGTATATTCTAAGTCAACAGGATTATTCCCTGATAGTAACAAGTTAATTCCTGAGTCACTGAGGTCAGTTAGGGTAAAGTCCATCAGTACATCTATGATGAAATTGAATAGAAATGGGGATAGTGGACATCTCTGGTTTTCACTACTTCAGATGACAACTCTTCGCAGGCTCTTAACTGGCTGCCTGCATGAATTCGAGTAGATCAGTGCAATGTATTTTCTCCACATTCACTTTACAGCCCAACATCGCCATAGTACCTCTCGGTCGACAGAATCGAATGTCGCTTTCACATCAAGAAATATAACGATTGTTGGACGCCGGTAAGTATGCGTGTGTTCCAGGATCTGTCGAAGGATGAAGATGTCATCAAAACACCCTCTTCCTGGTCTAAAGCCTGTCTGGTTCTTTCGTGTTTGTGCCTCCCGAGCACCACTTAGTCTTCGCATTATTGTCGAGCCTAGAACTTTAGATACCACATTAGTCAAGCTAATCCCCCTGTGATTATCACCGGAAGACTTGTCTCCCTTCTTGTATACTGGGATAGTCAATGACTAACACCAGCCCGACGGGACTTCCTCTGATTCCCAGACGCTGCCTAGTACCTCAGTTAACGTAGATAGTAAACTGTCTCCACCGTACTCAAATACCTCTGAAGTCATTCTAACAGGTCCTGCTGCCTCGCCTCCTTTCAGACTAGTTACAGCCGTAGTAACCTCAGTTAGGGATGGAGGACCTGTATCTATATCCCATTCACGGAGGTGTTGGATGTTCGGTAAGTTGAGCGTGGCTGTAGACCAACGGGATTGCTCCTGAAAGTGTTCCTTCTGACGTTCGAGTCATCTGTCCTGGGAGCTAATTACGGTGCCCTTTTTTCTCAGAGATTGTTTCACTTACCATTATAGCTATATTCCATACATTATTTTGGTACAACTATGGAATTTTCAGCTTATGATGCTGGTTGCCCGAATTCAGTAGGCCGAACATTGATATCGGATGTGCGTCGGTCGGGGTTCGAACCCCGAACCACGTGTATGGTCGGCGAGCGTTCTAACTGCTGTGCCACTAGCGCACAGTAATATTTACTGATGACGTCTAAAAATACAATTTATTGCTCATAATCATATCAAGGTACTCACACAACTTACTGACTTTGTTTATATACACGAGTAAAAAATTGATTAGACATATGAGTGAATAAATAAAAGTCAATATAAAGTTCAATAAACATGTGTGAAACAGAAATAAAGTACATTTGAAAATAACATAAATGATATCAATTACATATAATGCGACGAGAAATAAGACGTGTTAGTCAATGTACGATGGAAGATAAAGAACATTTTGTGATAAAAGAATATGGAAAATAATTTAGTTGCGAAGAAAAATGTTGATTGTTCCCTAAGGTAATACCATGTATTACCATATTCGTTAGGTCACAGGCTTTCTGAAAAACAGAAATGGATATACTTGAATTATTAAGTTCCCATTCTGTGATGCCTTGTATGAATTATTGACAAAACTATATCAGATGACATTTGCGTCGGTAATTTGAATGGGATTTGACTAGTTGTGCTGCAGGAGAATAAACTGTTAGAATAGCGGGAGCGATTGACCTCGATTCGCAAGTTTGATGGCGACTTGCTTTATTTATGGCAGTAGTTAGTAGTTAACTAACTGTAACACAGTGGATTACAGTTTTAAGCCGCGAACCACCCTCAGTTCGTGAAATATTCGTTGGACAATGACATCATGGATAATTTATATCATGCGTACACTCACTCTTCAGCTCTCTTTTACTATGTTTAGAAGTTGTTTACGAAACTCATGACTAATAATGAATGTATACTCTCTTGGGAGTGATTGAATTGTTCACGGATGTGCTGATTACAGTTGTCTTTGTTTACAAAGTGTAAAGGAAGATGTATGATAGATTGAAGAAGTTGTTTTACATGCAGCTTTAAATCACAAAAGATACAGATTTGTAAATGCTTTAACACTGTTTGACACCGAAGCTGAGTTCACAATGACATATCAAATGATAACTGATTATGCTATTCATAATGCTAGTACGAAACCTATGTCCAAGGCTTCCTACTGATTGTCTCTAACCATATAACATCAACTTTCATTCATAACATTTTGAATTTTATTCACTGACGTGAAGCATTCTTTTAGAAACAAGTCGGTAATGTGCATTAGTGTATGGGGTAAGTGAGTGTGTATACTTCGAAGTCGTTTTAACACGAGCTTATATTGCAAGTCTTTGTAGTGATTTATCAGAATCTTCTACATTAGTGTACAACTCTTCTGTTTATTTCTACAGTTGCAAGGATGATCTTACTGCGCATATTTCATGGGCCAAATGACTCTACTTCAACAGACCATACGAACAGAGATACAAATTCGTCGGACTGAGAACTTTGTAAATTTAACTTTCGAGCTCTCGTCTTTACTTTTCTTTTTCATATTATTTTGTAGAATAGAAACTATTATTATTCTACTGATTGCCGTTAATCTATTTTTTTCCATAATATCGCTGTTGGTATTTCATCCGCACTTTGTCGTGTATTGTCCACATTTACGTGCATGATGGTGAACATCAAGTGGAAGACAGTTACATCGCTTTTCCAGTATATGGCTTGTTGATGAATTGGCAGTAGCAACACCCTATATTATTTTATTATTTCATGCTAAACTGCTTTTAATATTTATGATTTTGATTTCCTCCATATTTGTATAACTTTTTTCCTATTTACCTTGGGTGATATAAGTATTGAAATAGTTTGTTCATTACATTCTGGATTTACTTATGTGTTATAGAACAATTTGAAATTTAAGCGTTAATTTTTGTATGACCTCTTTTGAACGACTTAGAATACTTTGTGATTGTGTAAATCTGGTAAATTCGTGGTAAGTTACCCATCATCATAAGGACAACCATTCCCAGAATTAATTGACTGGTTTGAATATTTCATATATTGCACTCAGATACTCCATTTAGAATATTAGGACTAGACTATCAAATGGTTCGATTGAAATCATTCCCTGGATGAAAATTTGAAGTTTGAATTGAAGGTTAAATTGTTTGGTTCACACAAGAGTTATGTACTGCAGTTAGAGTATCACTACAAAGTATTCCTTGACTGAAATTAATTATAAATGTTGCCAAGTTATGAATTGATCGTGGCTTTTAGTATTGCTGTTAGCATCCTGAACTGTCCCATAAAAGGTGACAATCATCTGTACTTTTAGACCATAAGTGACGCAGAATGTTACTCAGAAAACATAGCTTTTTATCCATTCATTTGTTAATTCTGGCATTCAGTAAGCAGTTAACGTTAATAGTTTCACATTTGATCATTCGTAACTACAATGTTTCTTGTAATACTTATGAAATATTTTACAAAATCTTTATTATGTCAGATTTGTATGCTGAACTCATCTGCAGCAACAATATCAGCAGTTGCAGATCCTGGAAATCAATGGGCTGCTCAGTTTTTTTTTATTTTTCCTGCAGGTCCTACCACGCCAGGAAAGTTGTAAGGATAGCGATTAGACTAAATGCAGTTATCGGCATAGTGTAAGAATTTTCTCACACTATTTCGGGGGTCTGTGGGCGAAGTCGTACTGCTGGGGCACAGGGATATAACAGCAGCGAGGTGTTTCTCTCAGATGACCAGCATGCCGGCTATGCTGTATCTCCACTCCGGAGAGGGGGGTTAGAAAAGGTCGACCCCAAAAATTGTGCATCCCGACTTACTCTACGGTGGTCCGTAACCCGCGGTAAGTTTACTAATACGGAACCATTCCAAAAAACCAGCTCATACAGGCCGTGTGTGATCGGCATCAAGCAGCTGTCCTTTGGGCTCTGCGCCCAAGCAACACTAACTCTCTCTCTGTTTCAGAATCAATCAACTTCCACGGTGTGGGCAACCGGGAAGTAACAACCACCCACACAATATCAAAATCACACGCAGCCTTAATGAGCATCATTCTCCTTTATCCGCATCACCTTCATCATCCTACCCCCTACTACAGTCAGTACTAATCTTCAGACTAGGGAGTCATCTTCACTTCGTTCTGTGTCCACAATCATATCAAGTTGATATGATTCTGAGCAATAGTTCTTGCTCGAAACGTCATCATTTAATATTACTGTACAACACTGTAAAGTTTATCAAAATAAACTCTTATCCATAAGCAGAGTCATCTGTTCCTATTCAGCACTAACTTTAGACACGAAGACAGACACTGTGTAATCTGGCGACCTCCATCACCAAATCAACGCTGGACTCAGACCACTTAGCTACAGGGTGTCCTTAGCGATGGTCAGTAACAGGATCTCCTTCTGGAATACGATGAAACTGACAAAAAAATTGTTGGCAGCGAAGCAAATATGTCCCCAAGTAGACTGACATTGAGTTTATTTAAGGAAGAAATAGCAAAACGCATGTCTGAGGTCGATAGCAGGACTACTCCTGATGTAGCGTATTATGATATGCAATTAGCCGTTAATAACCTGAGACCTAAAATTAGTAAGAGTTATTGGATTTCTACCACCTCATCCGAACTGACCGACTCCGGTGAACTACGATTATAAAGAAAAGTGAAAGTTAATAAAACGCAAACTAAGAAGAAGTCTTAGCAACGACCGTGAACCGCGTTGGGCGACAAACGAGAAAGAGATGGGAAAGGCATAGGCGATAGGTAACACCAGACAACTATTTAGGCTTATCAGGAAAACAGGTGGTAAAAGGCAAATGATAAGTGAAACAATCTCTGAGAAAAAAGGGCACCGTAATTAGCTCCCAGGACAGATGACTCGAACGTCAGAAGGAACACTTTCAGGAGCAATCCCGTTGGTCTACAGCCACGCTCAACTTACCGAACATCCAACACCTCCGTGAATGGGATATAGATACAGGTCCTCCATCCCTAACTGAGGTTACTACGGCTGTAACTAGTCTGAAAGGAGGCGAGGCAGCAGGACCTGTTAGAATGACTTCAGAGGTATTTGAGTACGGTGGAGACAGTTTACTATCTACGTTAACTGAGGTACTAGGCAGCGTCTGGGAATCAGAGGAAGTCCCGTCGGGCTGGTGTTAGTCATTGACTATCCCAGTATACAAGAAGGGAGACAAGTCTTCCGGTGATAATCACAGGGGGATTAGCTTGACTAATGTGGTATCTAAAGTTCTAGGCTCGACAATAATGCGAAGACTAAGTGGTGCTCGGGAGGCACAAACACGAAAGAACCAGACAGGCTTTAGACCAGGAAGAGGGTGTTTTGATGACATCTTCATCCTTCGACAGATCCTGGAACACACGCATACTTACCGGCGTCCAACAATCGTTATATTTCTTGATGTGAAAGCGACATTCGATTCTGTCGACCGAGAGGTACTATGGCGATGTTGGGCTGTAAAGTGAATGTGGAGAAAATACATTGCACTGATCTACTCGAATTCATGCAGGCAGCCAGTTAAGAGCCTGCGAAGAGTTGTCATCTGAAGTAGTGAAAACCAGAGATGTCCACTATCCCCATTTCTATTCAATTTCATCATAGATGTACTGATGGACTTTACCCTAACTGACCTCAGTGACTCAGGAATTAACTTGTTACTATCAGGGAATAATCCTGTTGACTTAGAATATACAGATGGTATAGTCCTCCCTGCTAGGTGAAGACGCTGACAAAATGTAGGGTCTTCTGAACACCTTGGGGACAAGCGGTATTCGAATGTTTGGCATGCGATCCGCTCCTGCTGTCAAATGCAAGATGATGCTACAGGACTGGACTACGTCGACTACTCCTAGCTTAGAAATAGGTAGTGAAGTGATAGAGCGCATTGACCACTTCACTTATTTGGGAAGTTGCATCAGCCCCAACGGGTCGATCGCCGACGAAATCTCGGCACGGATACAGAAGGCTAGTTTTGCATATGTCAGTTTACGCCGTCTTTGGCGTAGACGTGATATCCGAATACTGACCAAAGGACGTGTGTACTGCTCAGAAGTCCGCCCCATCCTCCTTTATGGTAGTTAGACCTGGCCATTGAGAGTGGAAGACATGAGAAGGCTGGCTAGCTGTCTTTGATCATAAGTGCCTGCGTCCCATCTTCCGTGTTAAGTCGTATGATAGGATGAGTAATATCGAGGTTAGGCATCCATCGAGTGCTAGGTAAGGAGGGAGGGGAAATCAATAGACGAGGGTGTGAAGCAACATCGACTGAGATAGTTAGGATATGTGTTACGTCTGCCTAGTCATCTCCTTCCACGACGGGCAATGTTGACTGATATAGAGTCAGGCTGGAAAACAGCCAGTGGTGGTCAAACCAAAACATGGCTTCATCAGTCAATGAAATCCACAAAAGTTAGTTTTAGCTAACCACGTTGGGAGTTGTAGACTTTGTGGTTGGGGTCCTCGAGATGGTAAACACCAATGACAACTGGAGACAATTGGTGATATGGCTCAAAATCGTTCTTAATGCATAGTGCAGATGCATCCATTCCTTGTAACTTATAATACCCAGAAAACTATATTGTTCTTCGATATTACTATTCTTTTCGCCTCTTATCTTGTTTACTGTCTCTATTTTGCATTTCTTTTTACTTTCTTCCCTTTCTTTGTGTGCTACATGGAGTGTGGCGACTCGAACTTCTGCACATCTGTGCAAATTTATGTGTTGATTTGAGTCATGCAGTCAGCAGTCTCCTGATAGTTCAACTACAAGTCTCTGATATTTTGCTTTTGCTGCATTCTTATTGTTCTCCTATGTTTAGGAATAGATGGCTTCTCATACCCATCCTGCTGGTTTCTTTGTCAGTTTCTTAATGTCATGGAAGACTTCTTATATTGTCAGATCACAGGTGTACGCTCAGTGTTCTCTGTCTTTTGGCACTATTTCTTGATGTCTTGTATCTGGTGTTCAGTTCAAATGTCCTGCGAACTTATCAGTCAATGCCAACTATTTTTCTTGTTTTTGTTATTCAGGTTCCACTATTTTATCTTAAATCGGTTTCACCTGCGTCGAGGATGCTCTTAGGATGCATATTCAGGAACTTTCACGATAATGAAGCAAAGCTCATTCTGTACAAAACCTGTGTGAGGCTACTACTAGAATACTGTCCATTTATTATTAGCAGCACTCACAAACGTGAAAAGCTAAGAAAAAAAGTATCCAACGATATTTTACCTCAAAACTACTTGGCTACGAATGTAAGAAAGACTACATCTCACGGTGCATGATTTACTGCGTTAAACCAAATATATGAAACTCCTAAACTGCTTGAAGATAAACACAAAATGATGTCACAACTTGAAGAAAATATTGCGTTTGTGAGTAACTCCAAAACTCAGGAACTTTGTAGGATTTCGCAGAAACGTCTTAAAAGCAGTAAAGACAATACTGTAA